TTTTTTTTTTTTAAGAAGTTAAAGGAATAGTTCACCAACATTTAAAAAAAAAAAATCAGTCATAATTTACTTCTAATGTTCCAAAACTGTAGGATTACACCAAAATAGTTTGGTTACCAATGATCTTCAAAGTATCTTCATTTATTTTCCACGTGAAACAACATGAGGGTGAATGTATGTTGACTAAATTTTCATTTTTGGGTGAACTATCCCTTTAAGAGTTCAGGAATGAAACTCGTCTCAGAATGACTAAATAACCTGAAAGGCCATTTAATTAGCATCATGGTGCCTTATTCCACTAAGCCTCTCGCTCAGATGCAGTTGCAATGCAGGAGATCCCAATGGGAGAAGGAGAGCGATCGCGGACAGATTTAACGGAAGACTTGTGTTTGGTTGCTCGTCTGGGGAAAGGGCACTAGGTGAGCTAATTAAAGAGAGATTTGTTGATGAAGAAAGAGGGCGACCACACAGCTGCTGGCCCCAATGACCCACTGCTCTACATGGTATCCACCCCACCCTTTTGGGTGACGGGCTTTATGCCAGCTCCAGGTGGTGAGTATCCTTTCCATAGGCCATGAACTCATCTGGAGGAAACCCATATTAGCTTCCCTTGCAACGTCTATCCTGCCTGCAATATGTCTGCATTTAATCATGTAATCAAATGCACAACGATAGTCTGTCACAGCATCTAGACAAGCATGAGAATATTTTTAAAATGCAGACATATGATGTAAACAAGAGAGATTTTGACTAAGTTTTCAATGTTTTCAACCAAAAATATAGACTAAAGACTTGTTCATTCGCCTTGATATGTGGAATATTAAAAGAAACCACATCATCCACCCAATCCACTCAATTATTATGAGTCATCAGGCTTGAGGAGGTTTGGGGACAGAATCCTTAGAGCAAAACAAATGGCACTTTGAGGTGCTTAAATGCTTTGAGGTGATTTTCTGTCACAGCAATCAAATCTCTATTCAACCTGTGCTTTGTTCAATGCATTTTAGATGTGATGAATGCTACACAAAAGAACATGTTTCCTCCCTTCCAGACTTAATAAGTATGCAAGTTTTGGTCTCCCTTTATGACTCACATCTCAAATAGAAAAGAAAAAAAAATTGTATAGATGGTTAAATTAAATATTGTTTCTTCTAAGTATGATGCCTGAACACATTATAAAACATTTAGCTTTGAAATCGCAAAATATATTCTGGACTGTGATCACAACTATAAAAATCTTAATTCACAATTAAAAATTAAGTTTTTAAAAGAAGCCTATCTTTTGCTTATCAAGGCATCATTTATTTGATCAAAAATACAGTAAAAACAGTAATATTGTATATTAATAATAATTAATAAATAATAAATATTACTACAATTTAAAACGACTAGTTTCTATTTAACAATTTTCTGTAAGTAGTTGTGCTGCTTAATATTTTTATGGAAACCATGACACATATTTTCAGGATTCTTTGATGGACAGAAATGCCAAAAGAAAAGCATTTTAAAATTTGAATTTCAAAATTTGAAAAGTATAAATTTCTATCAAAAAAATCCTACTAACCCTGATGTGTAAATAAATGTATAATGCCATTTTAATCAAATTATTAAATATAGCTTCAACCAAGCACAATAACTACTTAACCAACAAGATATTTATAATTTTTTACAGACATTTGTTAACAATTCATATTAATAAATTAATTGTATGTAATTAGGTTGCATGCACTGCACTGTATGTAACTAAGCTGCATGCTTTGCACCTCTGAATTCAAAGCTCATCATGTTTTTGCTAATCCAGTACATAGTACATCTGTGACTCCACCACACATATTGCAACACTTGGCTGAGCTGGGACACTACAACACTATTAAATAAACTGTGGTTAGCATTTAATACACATAGCTTGCATAACATGAAGCGTAACAAACCAAATAAAAAGTCTAGTCTGAGTCACTACAGCAAAGCGGCACTCCACTCCGATGAAAGAAACCTCCAGACAACAGCATCACAGGATTAAATAAACTGTGGTTAGCATTTAATCCACAAAGCTTGGCTAACACAGAGTACAGCAAACCGAATGAAAAGTCTAGTCTGAGTCACTACAGCAAAGCGGCACTCCACTCCGATGAAAGAAACCTCCAGACAACAGCATCACAGGCGGCTCCCACACTAATAGAACTCTTCTGTCGGTTATTAACTGATAATTGCCAGGCTTCAGAGCCCTCTTTACTGCTTCTTCTTCACTTTTAGCCTCAAGGTAGAGGAAGTGAGGCAGGGAGAGCCAAGATAGCACAATAACAATGCGCCAATGCAAACCTGATCACAGCTTGAGAAGCAAACTGCATTTGTATTTGTTCGACACAGGCTAAATCAGTGCTAGTCCAGAGCTCTTGCTGTATCATAGCGTTTTCGCTAATCCTCGTGGTGTGGAGGAGAGTTGCAGATACCGGGAACCCAGAGAAAAGCTGCATAATGCAAGGCTGACATGACTACTTTTAGCATTCTGCTACATCGCAGGATTAGGAAGAGGGAAATGGGAGTGGATTAGCCTATAGGAATTCAATACACGTGGGGAAAAGGACCGATGACGGTGGTAGGACTGAAGCACTGGAGAGCTTGTGGTAGTTTAGCCCTCAATGTGACTAAATTAGTATAAATCTCCCAAGTCCCTCCATCTGAAACAATTGTGCCGTCTCAAAGGCAATGACATGCCCCTGTTTGCTAGTTGTTTTCTAATATTCCTTGGTGACTCTAACGCAGATGGACGACAGGATCAAAGCTGAAATGAGCTGCAAGTGTTACGATTTCATGAGCTGGATGAAATCCAATCATTTAAATTTCACGGACCAAGATAAGCAAAGATCAAAGTGTCAAGCTGCTGTGCTATCTGTTATGCATTTTGCATAAAATATTTAGAGCAATGTGAGCAGAAGTATAAGTTTTCAGTTGGACCTCTCAAATTTTAGCCCTCCAGTGACTTGGTGTTGGGTTCATGAGCTGGATTATGGCCTGTGGTCGAACATATGGCTGAGGTGTTGAGTAACATATGCAAATTGCAAGGAATAGTTCACCTCAGAAAGAAAATCCTGCTATCATTTTCTCTCCCTTGTGTCGTTCCAATCTGTATTTTTCCCCTCCGTCGACATAAAACGTGATTTTTTTTTAATGAGTA